AAGTCTTAATCAAGATGGCTCGTGGTTTCTTGCGGATTTGATATAACTGACTAATTTTTGATAAGCTTGTATGTTTATCTAGTTTCAACGTTTTTTGCGATACCTCGATTTTCTTGTGGGTGTGGTCTATGTACCAATCATTAGCAATGCATTAGCAATAAAATATGCCAAGGAGGGAATTGTAGCCCTTTTCATTGCGAGATATAGCTACGTATTTTTACCATAGAATTAGCATAAACATTGTTTCTCAGGAACGGTTGAGCAATAACTTGTTTTTTGGTGTAAAACTTCCAGAAAAAATTAGCAATTAATTCCTTGGGTTCACTTTTCTAGTTTCATCGTTTTTGGTAGATATCTCGATGTTTCCGGGGGTGAGTTTTGCGCTAGAGAATGATGGGGTAGTTTTTTGGCGATTTGTCCAAGTACCAACCAACAGCAATTAATTAGGAATAAAATATGCCGCCAAGATGGGCCTTGTAGCCCTTTTTCTTGTCGAGATATAGCTATGGTTATGCTGGCTTTACCATAAAGTTAGCATATTTATTGTTTCCCTCAAACAGCTAGAGCAATAATTTTTTTTCTTTTCGTAATAAATTGTAGTATCAGTGTGAATTCGGCCTTATAAAATGGATATGCTAACTTTACCGACAACTGCGATATTTTCGGTAAATCTTGCGTTTCATAGACGTGCGGCTGTTGGTCGATTGTTTACTAAACCAATACATACAAATTTAACCACCACACAGTGAATAGTGTACGCTGTCTAGCTATGGAGACCTGGACAAAGAAGTGAGAGATCAAGTACAAAAAGCAAATAGACGCCTTAATAACACTATGTGGAAAAACAGACACATTAACACTGAGATGAAGTCAAGAATTTATAAAGCCAGTGTAATGAAACTACTGAGAAGTATTACAGGAAATATGCTGGGAGATCGAAAGAGAAGTGAAGACATTAAAAGAAAATGTAATGTACAGTGTAGAAATAAATAGACACAAAATAGAAAATAGAATGGAAACCACATAGCAGAATGGAGGAAACCCGTGTCGTCAAAATAGCAAGAGATAAGTCACCAATCAGCAGAAGAACTATCAGACGACCGCGCAAAAGATGGAGCGACAACCTTCCATAGAGGTATTAATCTGCCAATGAATAATCAGAATAATTGCTTATAAAGAAGAAAAAGGAGTCAGAGAAGAAAAGGAGTCAGAGAAGAAAAACAAATAGTCCTCTTGATAGGAAGACTATGACGACCATAAAATAGGCAAAGCGTGTGAAATTTTGCCCAAACATAGCATCCATTTTGGTAAAAAAATTTCATCATTTGCATGTGCTGTATGATATATCCATCCATGGTGATTTGGCAAAACAAACTGAATAAAATATCAGCCAATTTAATAGATGTAGCTTCAACCCAATCGCTATTAACTGTCTAAGTTTACAAAAAGTTACGAATCACTGCAAAGATATCAAAGAATATGCTGAAAGTACAATATCTTCAATGTATACCGAAATATTAAGAAAAAGTGAATAAAAAAAACAAGATAACCTACATAAAGGGAAAAATTACGGATATAAAATAGAAAATGGAATACTTACAGAACAGAGCTGTTCTAAAATAGCCAAGAACAACTAGAAGAAATGGACAAAACAGAAAGATAAATAATTACAGAAATGACAAATAAAACTCTAGACTTCTAAATTTTTTCAATGATAAATATAAAAGAAAAATAATCCCCCAGAATGGGTGTTATCCATGATTGTAGTGATTTCAAAGACTAGTGTGTCAGAGTATGATGTGAAAAACACCACAAAAAAAATTCTGATTGTTTCAAAAACACAACATGAAAATTACACACTAATGATAGAGCAAACCCAATTAAAACAGGTTAACAGATACAAATATCTGGGAACTTGAGACAAAAACAACAATAACCAAAATAAAGAAATAACAGCAGATTTATAAAAATGAAACAAGTTTTTTGTTAGGCAAACTAGAGCATTTTTCTAGTGGAGCTACATTATAAACCAGCTTATTACATGACCTAATGTAAATAACAAATAAATGGTATAGTTAAAGAGAGACTGGAAACATCTCTTGTAAGTATGCCCTCATTAAAAATGCCTTTTTTTATTTATTTTTTATTTGTTCATGGTTTTAGATAATGTTACTGTTTTTGCCTAGTCACAAGTTTCATCTTTATTTATTGGTCTAGGAATTAAAGTATTTTGTAATAATTGAGTAGTCTAATTTGTATATGATGGTAGTTAGAAATATAAATTTTATAGCATAAATATTTTCTTCCTTGCCTTTAGAACTTAATAGGGATGTAATAAAAGAAATTTGGGTTTCATATACACTCTGGGCCAAAATTAACCAGCCACATTAAAAATGGGTAATTTTTGATCTCTTATATCTCCTAAACCTGTTGTCCAATTGATTTCTTGTGATTTCTTTAATAGCCTTATTTCTTGACAATATCGTTGTAATAATATGGTTGCTTAACAAGTAAATTTTCATTGTATACCGGTTGTACGAATCAAACTGTGTTTTTTTCTTAAAGTTTGCACCACCCTGTGGAATATTCTAGCATTTATAAAATATTGAAATTAAAATCCAACTATAGCCTCATGTTTTCTCAACATTTTGTTTTTTGATTAATTCGCTTATGTTGGAGAATACAAAAGTTAGGTAGTTTAACAACTAGCCATGTTTGTATCAATACAGACGATTTAACTTACCAGCAAAATTAACCCCACCACCTTTATTATTGTTTTGTTTATATTACCTGTGACAGTTTGTTTCTTAAATTTGTGTCATCGAAGGATTTTTGACAAATAGTTGTTGTACGACATTGTTGCAAATCTGTTTCCATGTTAATAACCATTCTTAAACAATTTATAATTAAAATTAAATTTGAAATTAAAATTAACAATTAAAATTGTAACTTTATATCACTGTGAGCGAATATTGTTTATGTTGAAATTTTAGTGTTTATTTATTTATAGTTATAGTGTTTAAGTTGAAATTTATATTTGTATATAACTTGTGAATCCTGAGAGTAAAGCTTTTTTCTATTCTATTCTATTCTATTCTATTCTATTGTTTGTGATTTTAAAAATGCCACTTGTTCCAACTGATGCTGCTAGGGCAGTAGCTTTAGTTGATGCTGGTTGCAGTCAACGTCATATCCCTGGTATACTCGATGTACCCAGAGCTACGGTACAAGATGCCATCAGACGATTTCGGGAGACGGGAGTGTACAACCGCAGGCCAGGTCAAAGCCTAAAACGATGCAAGTCAGTTCGGATGACGTCTTCATTGTCACGAAAGTATTAAGAAATCATTTTTGTACCACTCCTGAAGCTCGTAGGTCTCTTCTTGATGTGAGAATCGTTAGTGTGAGTAGACAAACGATTAGAAGACCGTCAAAAATAAACTTGAGGGCTTCTCGTCCAGCTAGAGCATCACAAATGCTACCACAACGCTGTAGGGCTAGACTTCATTTTGCACGAGAATATGCTAACTGGACTATGGTGGAATGGAAGAATATACTGTTCTCGGATGAGAATAAAAGGTCCAGATGGACGCCAACGTGTCTACTGGCGTCAAAATGAAAGGTTTGCTGCATGCTCTATAACCGAAACAGTGGCTTACCAAGAAGGGTCAATAATGATTTGATACATATTTCTTACAAAGCGCGTACTGATCCTGTTGTGTTCGGTAGAGGCAGTGTGAATGCCCAAGTATATGTGCAAGAAGTTCTCCAAGACTATATCATGGCTTTTGCACCATTCATTGGTAATAATTTCAGACTAATGCATGACAATGCATGTTGCCATACAGCAAGATCTACCCATTAGTACCTTAATGAGGTCGGGATTCAAGTTTTACCATGGCCAGCACACAGTCCTGATCTTAACCCAACTGAGCATATCTGGGACAACCTCAAAGACAGGTAAGAGCAAGAGTACCAGCCCCTGCATCCTTTGAAGAGCTGAAGACAGCTGCGGTAGAGGAGTGGCACAATATCCCCCAATCTGATATCCAGGATATCATGAATGGATTGCCAAACCGGCTCCAAGGAGTCCTAAGGGCTAGAGACAACTTTGATTTCCAAAATATTGTTAATTTGAATTTTCTTCAAAGATTTTATTTATTGGATTTTTATTGTAATAAATGACATTTTTTCAGAAAGATTATTTTTTCTCTTCCGCGGAGATAAAAATTGATAAAAAACATGTCTAGTTGTTAAAGAACCTAACTTTTATATTATCCAACATAAGTAAATCAATCAAAAAAGAAAATGTTGAGAAAGCATGAGGCTATAATTACGATTTAATTTCAGTATTCTACAAATGCTAGAATATTCCACAGGGTGATGCAAATTTTAAGAAAAAAACACAGTTTGATTCGTACACCCGGTATACAATGAAAATTTATCTCTTTAGCAACAATATGATTATAAAGATATTGTCAAGGAATAAGGCTATAACTCAGACAGAGTCAGATAAATCAGACAACAGGTTTAGGAGATATAAGAAATCAAAAATTACCCATTTTTAAGGTGGCCCCTTAATTTTGACCCAGAGTGTATTATGTCCATATAATTTTAAAAACTACTGAAAATTTAAAGGAAAGAGGTCTTAATCTTTTAATTGGAGTGTCAGCAGCAGTTTGGTACAATCTTTCCAGCAACCATTTGGTACACTCTTTCCCCAATAGTTATCTTGTTTGTATAATGAACATGGACCAGATTACCTGTTCTAATAGCAGAGGTTATATTATGTAAATACATATTAAAAATGACTAGTCTGCATCTTCTATAAAACTGGTTTTTGAACAATTACAGATAAGTATTTTCAATGTCATCTCGAATATAGACACCTATATAATACAAAATTATATACCTACTACTATTTGATGCAAAATAAATAAATTTAATTGCTAATATTTAAAACGGATTAAAAAAATAAAAGAACATTTTTTTTAACTTACGGTTTGTCGGGTTGGTTTTTCCTGGCTTTTTGATTTTCGGCTTGAATTTCCTCGGCTCTAGTTACACTTTTAGTCCTTCTACGAATTCCATCTGGTTGGGACATTTTTTTCTAAATATTAATGCAAAAATTTCTTTCAAAAACAATTATTTGGTAGTAAATAAACCTTCCAATTTCCTTTTAGTATGCGCGTGTTACGAACTAGCCGATTCGATGGCTTCTGACCTTTAATATCATTATCAAGAGTCTCGCTTGTTATCTATCGAGACAATCCAAAAAAACACTTTTATACTTATTTCCTTGGCGCACCTTTTTTGTAATTTTGAACTTCAGACAAAATATAACCTTACTTTTATCTGTCAATTTGATTAATTCGCGCCGTGTCTGTACTGTCGCTTACGGAATCCAGGATATACCTAGGCGGATAAAAATCATTATGGTAGAAAATCTAAAGACAAAAACGTTCTTTAGAGTGTTTTCGTCAATCAATAGTCAATATTTTTTGAGTTATTTGTGACTGAATGTTCACAAATTACACGTCAACAAAGCATGTTTTAAAAAATTTAGCTTTTATCGCTAAAACCATGCTAAAACTGTATGGATATAAAATGAAGCTTATAAAACAAAAACATTGTTTTTTATTATTACCGTAAACTTGATATAAATACCTAAAGTAAGTTATTAATCGAATACAAAAATCTAAAACATATAATCTATACCTAAAAACGGTAAGTTTTCCATAGAAAACTTTTTTAACGATCTTAAAAAACCTTTAAAATGACTACTTGTAAAATTCATTTGAATGAAAATTAGGATAAGTTATAACTAAATTAAAATCTACTTGTACTTTTTGTGGTACAGAAAGTAACAAAGTCACCCTCACCCAAAACCATCCTGGTTAATACTACTCGTTGTTCATTTATATTTTACTTCATTATTATACAAACATTACATTCTGGAAGTTTAACTTTAGTTTTAAAACAATCTGAATTTCAAGTGAAAATACTATTTTCGGAATTTCTCAAAAACTCCCTTTTTTCAAAATAACTCAACAACTAAAAAAAAGATATAGAAAAGATGTTAAAGTACAAAAAACAGCTTTGTTTACTGAAGATTTTAGTCCTTTTAGTTTTAGTATTTTAGTTTATTATAAAAACTACAATGTGGAGTAGCTATATCTATTAAATTTTTATCAAGCTCTTCATTTCGCTATTAGAAGAAGAGTTACGCTACAACGACTTGAAGATGGTGCTAAACTCATGCCAATACATTTATACACATATCTCTTTAATTTATATCTTGTTTAATTTTTGGTTTATAAAAATAGAAAAAAAAATTTAAATATTTAGTAAAAAAGCTCTTTTTGTATTCTAAAATTCCTTTCTCTATACCTTTTTAAGTTGTTGATTTATTTTTAAAAAAAACTGGATTTTTTGAGAAATTCCGAAAAAAGTTTTTCAATACTAAACTAAACCTTCTAAACCAACTACACTTCCAGAATGTAATGTTTGTATGAACAACGAATAGTTTCAAAAGGGTGGTTTTGGCGGGAGTGAATTTGTTATTTTCTGAAAAATATACAAAAAATAAATATAAGCGGTATTTTATATATATATATCTTATCTTATATATTAATTTTTATGCAAATTTTAAAGTTTTTATAAATTTTCCATGAAAAACTTACATTTTCTGGTTATTCAACATCTTATGTTTGTGTTTTTGTTTCTATGAATAAAAGTCTACTTTCAAGCAGTCATAGCTTTATTAATATAAAGTTTACGGTATATACTCGAATAACTCCAAAATATTGCCTTTTCGAAATAGTTAGCTCAGAAAATTTTTGTCTTAAAATAATTCACTATTCCGGCAACTACTATGTTTTTTTTTATATACTTTTTCCAGTCCTGAGTGTGGTAATCACCCCAGAGAATAAGCACATATTGCCGTAAGGTAGATTTTGATTTTTGAGCTATATTCCAGCTACTGTCAAAATTTTAAGCAAATATGCATGCATATAAAAATAATTCTGAGCAGAAAACCGTCATATCCTGAACTTAACTCTAGAGCTTCGAAGATGTGCTTTCAACAACGGTACGAAATAATTTTTTTTAATCGTAACCATTATTAATAGATTTTATGAAGCGGTTCAATATTCTGAGGAAAATTTATCTAATGATTAAATTACCATATCCAGATAAAAAATAAGGGTAGAAAGTGAAAAACAGGGAAAGCAAGAAGAAGGTGGTAGAACAAAATTGAGTACGAAACTTACTAAGAAATATTTATTTAAAATATACAAACACTATTTAAAAATAATAACATTATTTTTAAATTATTAACATTATTATTTAAATAATTAACATTAAAAACATATTTACTGAATCTGAATCTTAAGTCTTCGTTTTATAAAAGGTAAAACTGTTTTATTTATACAAATTTTATCGTCATGAACTCTCCAATAGAAAGTTTAAAAATGATCCAACATTAACGTCCCGTGGCTCTTTTCCCCTAAAACAAAAATATATCCTCATGAACAGAAAGCCTTTTTATATTTAACACTTAAATATTTTACTTGTCCTAAGTTAATTTATTTGTCAACTACTTGTGTCACTAATAATAAGAAGACATACTTTTCAAATAATCTTCCTCCATTTACTCCTTTCACAGCGAGCGTATTATCTTTAATGTTCAACATACATCCTTCCCTAATACCCAATACAGTTTTCGAATGATCCTCTTCTTGGTACTGTCTGATTCTGTCTTCCCTAGTTTCGCCCTTGTGTGTAGAATTTGGATCTGCGTCTATGTAATGGGGGTTTATATTGAAAGGTACTAGTCCCAGGCCTTCAAAGGTAGGAGGGTAAACAATAGGCATGTCATTTGTTGTGTGTATGCTTGCTGTAGCCACATTAGAACCTAGAGAGAACAAAAAAGCATCTAATTATGTATCTGTGAGAATAATGTATATATGTAGTTATATGTAGTAAAAACTTCATATTAAGTCAGTATTAGAATTTCGAAATGTCGGATTAATTGAAATGTCGAAAATTCTTTTATTTATTTATAGCTGATTATTTACTCATATTATGAATAAAAGTATCTCTATTTTGTATCCATTTATTCCTGTCGTCAGTTTGTCTTTCCTACATGGCTTAATATCGTTCCATCTCATTTGCTGTCAAAGACCTCTTGATCTTTCTAAAGTAAATATTCTCCAACATTCAATCTCTTTGTTTTATATTCACATCTTCTGTTCTAGTCCAGTCCATCTTCATTTTAGTTTTAGAATCTTTTTCGATACCGTCTGTGGTTTGGGTTTTGCTCCTTATCAATTTATGTGTCCAACGGTCCCGCTATTAGTTATGGCAAACGAACTCTTGTTAATATACAGACACTTCCAATACTGATATAGGTATAGAGGCTAGAATTCAACTATTTTAATTCCTATATGTTGCTCTTAGACTTTTCTCTCTAAGCTATGCAAAAGGTTGATGACCGATTTTTTCAGCAGTCATGTTTCACTGGCGTACGTAAGTGTAGCACCAAGTTAAACAATACTATTATTAGTGAGTTTTTCTAAGGTAATTCTTCCTTTGGTTCAAAATATTTCGATCTACCTATACCATTTCTAATCTTTCAAGACTAGTATTAAGAGCAGTGGTAGAAAAAAAATTGTTAAGGGTAGAAACTTTTGATCTTTTTTGATGAAAATTTGATAAGTGTTCAATCAACACTTGGGATGCTCAACTAAAGCAATGTTCAGATTCACAGAAAAAAGTAAAAGAACGTTTTATTTTTCGCCAATGGTAAACAATTGTAATGAATAAAACTCGTTTGCTTCGTAAAAACAAATTAGGTCACAACTACTTAGTAAATTTTAAACAATATGCATAAAAATGAAGTTCTCACAAAATCGGAAAACATATTAAACGAATAAAAAATGCTAGCAACCCGAAAAGCTACTATTATCAACGTCTTTTTGCTTAAGACAGCCGTGTCGAGGGTATATATATATATATATATATATATATATATATATATATATATATATATATATATATATATATACATATATATATATATATATATATATATATTTATATGTAGGTATCTGAGTGTTCCTATTCGCTCCGTGCGTGACCATGGTAGGGGTACATTGAAACGATGCCAGCGTGCGTAGCGGCGAAATATGACAAAATTGGAATATTGAACAAAATATTTTTACGCATAAATTTTATCAAAAACGTATGCAAATACATGTTGCGTATTTAATTGTGCTAATAATAGCAAAAACATTGAGTGTAGTTTTTATAGGTTCCCAAAGATTACATATAAATGAGAGAAAAGAAAAAGATGAATTTGTGCTATTAATATGAAAAAGTAAATATCACATAATTTCATTTTTATGCAATTGAAATACGAAAAATTTAAATAATTTACCTTGAATGATATTTGATAAGGTTTCAAGCTAACTGCAGATGACTTTAGCTTTTATATCATAACTTTTACCATTATTGTTTTTAATTATATGCTCTTTTGCGTGAAAAACTTGATTTGCCAGTACTAGATTTTTCCCTTTCTTTTCCGTTTGGAGTTGAAAAGATATATTATGAAGAATTTTGAGAAACTAAGTTTTTAATACTACATTTATTTTGAACATAAACTGAAAAAATATAGTTAAAAAACTAATTTATTAATAATTGTCAATTTCGCTTGTATTTAATAATGTCAAACATATGTCATATGTTTAACCTGAAAATTGGGACTCCAAAATTGTCAGATGAAGGCGGTAGGTGTCGCGTCAGTCACGCACGGAGCGAATACTGTGTATGTATAGTTTATGTTAATATTTAAAACTCTGAAAACTCTTGACCAACATTTTAAAGATCAGTTTACCTGCGCTAGCTCCTATGTAAGGCATTCCTTGCTGTAGAACTTTTTTTCTTATTGGTTCTACCAATTTTAAATCATATAATGTCTTTAGAAGTCGGAAGGTGTTTCCTCCTCCTATGAAAATCGCTTCTGCATCTTTAATTGCAAGTAACGGTTCTTGTGTATGGATGCTGCTTATGTTAAAGCCTAAAAATATACATTTGATAATAAAAAACAATTTCATTGGCATTTCAAAGAAATAATTTAAAATAAAAGTATCACATTATGTATATGATAATTATAATTAACTTGAAACATCAGACTTATAATCAGATAGGTAGTTAATTTGTTAATGTTTTACCCCATTTCTTGAACGGTTTTTCCACATTCTTCAAATATTCATCATGATCTTTTAGGGCGTAAGGTATAAACAAAACATTTTCAACTTTATTCCTAAAAAAAAAAAAGAAGAAATTTACTAGTTTTTTAGAACCTACTTTTTATTAGTTCTATAAGAGTGGCAGCTTACAATTACAATTGTAGTTTAATTTTTGTCACAAATAAAAGTTTTTTGACTGACACCACAGGATTTCAATAGGATTTAAAAGACGTAAGGAGAAACCGTAAAACATTATGATGAAGCGAATGAAACCATAGACATCTAATACCTAGACTCCTCGCTGCAATATAGACGCGTTTCCCGAGTGCGACAGACAAAAGTGATGCAAAGCAGTTCGTGTACCTCCTTCAAATTGGAGGGGTTTATTCCCTACGTCTACACCCACAAGTGAGGTAGCAACTTAAAAATATCACATGTTTGATGTAACAAGTTGAGTAGTAGCTACACCGTATTGTTTCTGCTTTTTTATATATAAATTTAATAATAATCAATATTACGTTTATTAGATATTATTAAATCTGTAAATAAATCTTACAAATATTAAATACTATGTGTAAATATTTAAAAATGGTTTATTATAATTAAACATTATTAATTAAAAACTGTTTATGAGAGACTAGATATGTTTACAATAATAGAAGTTTATGTTTATTTATTTTAATACTTATACAAAATGAAAAAATTCTGAAAATAGTTACAAAATAATTAAAGTCATAAACAAAAAAATATTTCAATTATTTACTTTTTAAATAATACCAACTTATGTATATCTCACTCTTACTCTTTCTTCATTTTGTTTTATTTACAGCTCGATAAGCAAATTTATTTATTTATTTATTTATGTAAGTACCTAATAAACTTCATAATAATTAATAATAAATTTATATAAAAAAAACAACATTCAGTGGAAGATTCGAACCCCAATTATCCAGGTCCAAAAGCAAAAACAATACCGCGTAGCTTTCACTCGACTTAATACATCAAATATGTAAGTTATACTAAGTTGCTACCTCATTCATGTTTGGTAGTGGGCATGTCACGTGAGCAATAAACTCCGCCCATTAGAAAGAGATCTTTGCAACATTTTTCTTTCGCAGTCAATATTTTAACCACACACACAACGGTAAACGTAATATCCTTTATTCTTAACTAAATTATATCAACTAAACTCGGATTCACCAGTAGATTTCAGCGTTGGCTCTTACAGACAATGTTAATCAAATGGAAGGAAACGCTGCATCGTTGCTAGTTCATCATTGAAAAGCCATGACGAAAGATAGGGGGGAATGGAGACTAATTCTTGAACAGGCCAAGACCCACCCAGGGTTGTAGAGCCAAAGATGATGATGTTGCTAGTTCTTCGTCGGCCTCAACGTGGCAGAGCCAGCTTCGGACTTAACACTCCCTTACACACGGAGCACCTGCAATTTTGCACTAACATTCACTGATTTGCCCTAATGACTGTTCCAGAAAATATTCGGACGTCGTCGTAATATAGTGTTCAACAATTGATGAGGATCATAATTATGATTTCAAATATTTTAAAAGTTTGTTGAGATCCTAGTATGATGACTAGAATAGAATAAATGAAAATAGACGACTTAATATTCAACTTTTTGCTAACCCTAGTTAAAAATTGCCATAATGGCAAAATTTATTTTATTTCTTTTAAAATTGATAATAAAGTCGGGGTATTAATATTACTTTAATTATACTAAATTTTTACAAACGTCGGCTATTTACCGAAATGAATGTTTAGAGACCTTTTGAATAAAATTGAAATAAATAGAAAGAAAATGCCACGATTAGTATATAAGTCAAAAATATATCGAGGAGATACCTTAGCACAAAATACGAAGATTTAACCTAAAACACAAATCACATGCTATGATTTTTGTGACTGATATTTTTAAGTTAAAGTTGATTTCATATAATTGAATGAACTATCTTTCAATAAAATCTTTGCAACTCATAAATATTGGCAATATTATTTTGATGTCTTCTACTTTAAAATGTTTAATATGTCTGATTTGCCGATATGAATGAGTCAGATTAAATTTAATTATTAGAAGAATTTTTTTACTAACAATAAAATTTTTGTAATTGATTAATATTTTGTATTTCGAAAATGAAAGTCGTATAATTCGTAGAATAGCTTACTGACTAATGGGCGTTTGTAGAAATGGTTTAACCCTGTAGACATTTCGGTATTGTTGTAATTAAATACCCATTTAGAATTTTCCTTATAATAGTATCTACTAATTGTTATACGAGTAGGTATATCTAGAGCAGTTCGGGAAGGTACGTTAACTTGTCAAAAAATAAGTGCAATTTATTTTTAATTTTTTTTTATATACTGTGTCAAAAACATGGAGCATTTAAAGGTGAAAAGTTTTAAACAAGGACAAATCTTAGATTTATATGTGCGACAAATTATTTTGAATATGTTGATACGTACAACAAAAATAAATTCCGATCTGACTCCAACACAAATTGTTTCTACAACAAGTACAGCGTTGGGTGTTAGCGATAGGACAGTCTGGAAAATTCGTCAGGAAGGATTGGATCATAATGGAGACTTACCCAAAATTCTGAAAAACCCACGTAAACGGACCCAGAAGGAAACCAATCGGGAGTTTACCTACGATGAGAATATCAGGAGCCAATTGAGAAGACTTGTTCACGTGGAATTTTTCTTAAGGAACATACCTCCCACAATCAAAGCTACCCTGGATGCCGTTAATTTACACGAACATTTGCCTAAATTTTCCAAAAGTACTCTTTATCGACTATTGCGAGAGATGCATAAACAAACTACGGGGTTTGTTTATGAAAAAAAGAGGAAATAAAGCAGTAATGATGGAACTTCCTGACATAATAAATTGGAAGCATAAATTTCTTAGAAAAGTACAGAATTATCGAAATCAAGGATACAATATTTTCGATTTGGATGAAAGTTGGGTAAATATCGGACATACAGTAAACAAGGTATGGATGTATTCAACCATAACCAGTTATAAGGATGCATTTTTAAAAGGCTTGACTACTGGTCTAAATGATCCAAAACAAAGAGGTCCAAGATTTGTCTTGTTACATAACGGATCTGATAGAGGTTTTCTGCCAAATTCAGAATGTGTATTTTTAGCAAAAAATTGTTCAGGCGACTACCATGACGAAATGAACGGCGAGTCTTTCGAAGACTGGTTTGAAAATAAACTAATCGCAAACCTCCCAAAAGGAGAAAAATATGGTAGTAATGGATAATGCTCCATATCATTCATGCAAACAAAATTTCCCAAGAAGCTCCTGGACCAAACAACAAATTCAAGAATGGTTACGAGAGAAGGATATATTTTATGAAGAAGATTGTTTAAAGTCAGAACTATTGGATGTAGCAAACAGTTATGCAGATATATACGACAAGTATAACATCGAAACTTTGGTCGAGAAATACGACGTAAAAGTATTACGATTGCCTCCCTGTCACTGTGAGCTTAATCTAATAGAGATGGTTTGGAACCAAGTTAAACATTACGTTTCAGCCCGAAACACTGACTTTAAAAAAGGTCGTGTGCAACAACTCATCAATGAAGCGTTTGCCAATGTCTCTGCTGAACAGTGGCAAAATTATATACAGCATGTCATCAGAATTGAAAAAGAAATGTGGATAGCTGACAACCTACAAGAAGATATCCTACCGGTGATTATCACAGCCAACACCGGCAGTTTCAGTAAGGACGGTTTTTCCGAAATGGAGGAGAGACCAGACACTGTTATTGTAAGTCTTATCGTTATTCATTAGGTAGCGTTTAGGCTACATAAATTTTTATTATTTTATTATCGTAATTTTATTCTTTGGTGTATACACACTTTTCTTTGTAATAATTGTTGAGACTGTTAATAGTAATAATTGATCCAAGTTGGTATATATCCTGTCGGTAAATAAATTAACAATTTAAATTTGTAGCCACTACGGAGCTACGATTTTTTTTGTAGCAGTTTCCCTAGTAGACTCGGTTCTGTTGTTATACCCTGTATAATTTAGTAAAAAAGGTTTCAAATAAAATGGTTTTATTAAATTTTGTGTAATTTTCAAAATCTTGAAGTTGTAAATAATGTTACATTTACTTCTAATAGGATTGCATGTGTTACAATAATAAATATTATGGCGTATAAAACTGTAACTATATTATGACTAATTCTTTTCTATTTCTAGTAATTTCGGCGCTCAGCTGAAAGACCTGTTACCTGCCGGCAGAAAACTCTAGTCGTTCGCTGAAAGACCGGTCCATGAGTCACCCTATCGTCTAATCTAATGGGTGGAAGGTCATCGACTCATCGCCAGATCTTTCTAGTCTAGCAGCTGAATGAATATATAATAACGGAGCTTTCATTGCGGGGGCAGTCAAAAGAAGATATCGCGATTTCGTTTTGAATTGTAACGCATGTATTATAAATGTAGATAAATTATATAATTATTAAGTGTAAAATAAATTAGTAGTAATAAAGACTAATAAATTTGTGGGTGTTATAAGTATAGAACCTTTAACCTTTAATAAATAATAAGAACAATAAATTAGAATTAATAAAAACATTATACATGATTTAATGTTATCGTACAGGAGGACCAACGCGGTCCTGAAGACTATGAACGTCCCTAGCGGCCTAAGCGGCAACGTCGCTTCTCATAAACACTGTACTGATATCCTCTCGTGAATTTGTCTATAGGTATATCTTAACAAAATTTTTAATTTTTAACACGTCAAGTAGTAGTTTCTTAATGTAATGTTTCAGGTATAGGTTAATGTAATGTCTCATTTGACTGTCTTCATTAATTATTCTTGAATTTCTACTTTATTGGTGTTTATTCGGTATTTTATGCTTTAACCTGGAATGGTAATGTACATTATCCAATACAATAACAATGTTAGGTTTTAATTTGGGCAATTGAGTATCCAAGTATGTTTTAAATATATTATTATCTACCAAGGCTGCACCCCTCCCCCAACTATTTTCTGACCAGATTTAAATTAACAAATTTTGTAAAATTGTTTTAAATAATATTATATAGTAACTAACAAACCATTTAAAAGCTCTATGAAACAGCCCCATTGTATGCAGGTGTCTGTTGACTGAAGCATGCTCAGTAAGAAAGTCTGTTATGAACCTAAGCTGATTCTTGCTTGATTTCCTCTATACTTCAACCCTATTAGTGGATGGCCATCCAGTATACATTTCACCAAGTACTTGATCCTCAAAAAGGACTGAATCCCTCGAAATTTCTCCTTCTCTACATTTTAAGACCAGGTCATCTGCATTGTCTAGGACATGATGTGTGTCATTGTGGAGTTGGGCCAGCTATTAGCACATTCATGACCAGATTCCACAAGAGAAGAGATAAAACTGCAGACAGCAAACTGACTATCTGGGATGACACTGTATCGCCCATTAATGTTAAGTATATTGCTCTTGTGCTTCCTTCTTAGGAGTTGTTGTATATAAACTTATTTTCATTCTGTAGAAATGTTGAATAAATCTCGTCAAGACCCAGTGATTTATTATATGACTCAAATCAGTTTAATGCACATTTGATTTTATTCTGATCTATCACTTCTTTATCCATACACCAGTTTTCCATAGAACCATAAGTTATGGTCTCCAGTCTAGTGTGTTGCTATATGTTTAGTGGCATCAGTTTTGTTTCAGATGCAGGAAAGTGCACCCTGAAAAGTACTTTCAGCTTTCAGGGTCTCTTTGGCAGTATGTGTTTATGATAAGTTTTACAAGGGTTTATGATAAGTTTCCTTGGTAGACTCCTTATCTGCTATTTCAAAACAGATGTGTCAGTGACCTGAACAAGACACTAATAGACTAAATTTCAAAGCTAAAAAATAGAATTGTCTACTAATAAACTAAATGTCTAAGCTAAAAAATAGAATTGCAGGCAATAACACAGATTAAAACTTCCTTGCTTGAATAGTATCATTGGAAAATGCTGAAGAATTTTTTATAATTGTTTCCGTAATCTTAGTTGTAAACATTATTTTGCGAACATTTGTAGTTTTACCTAATATTTGCCTTTTTGATATTTCTAACCTTTTTAAAACTGTTTCTTAATTATTAATGTGGATACCCCTATACTATCAGATTAGCTATAATAAGAGTATTTATTTTACTCTTAATTTTATTATTTAAGATATTTTCTATTCCAGTATATCACATTCCATATCCATTTCCTTCTTATATTCTTTTGATTTTTATGTGTTGCTTCCCACTTCCCACACTCACACCACATATTGTCTATTATTCCATATTTATATTTATAATTATTCTCCTCTTAATTCTTATTTTTTATCATCCACATTTCCCATTATAATTTCAGTATAATACCATGTTTAAGATTGGATATGTGTTAACATTAATTTATTTAATAAATTAACAGCTTCAGTTCATGAAATTCTTTCTAGTTTTGTTCAGGGCCTTATGTAAACATATTTATATCTCCTCCTATCTTAAGTTGACAATTATCTGATAAAGCTTAGTAAAGGTAAACATCAAGAAAACAGATAAGTATGTTTCCTATCGTTTGATGTAAATGTAAAATGCAAAGATTGAAAATGTCCAAAATTGTTTTACCTTAAATAAGTTTACATGTACCTACTCACCTATTTAATAATTCAGAAATTTCGTTTTCAGCAAATTCCAGCAGTTCAAATCCGTGCAATTTGGAACTAGAGAGCAGTAAAACATTTCGTGTTGCCATAGTATCAAATACTAAAAAATAAATAAATACGAAAATAAATATTAATTTCATTGAGATTATTAAAAAAGAACAATAAGATCACGTAAAACGTGCGGCAACCTTAGTTGATTATGTATTGGGTACTTACACAAAAATTTTATTGTTAAATGTTAAATCTCAAATCACCAAACGGAAGATATATTATAAAATAAATAGATAATTTATGTTTTATGTATTTATAAATTAGATAGGAAACAGCTGATTTATCGACAGCACGTGTTTTCCCTCGACGAGTGTTCAGAGGCGGAACATACGATGAGTTTATTGGAGCATCTTATGTACGTGCCTGAACAAAATTCTTAATGCACGTTCGTTTTCAGCAGTCAAGCTAAGCTTTTCTACTATTATAATATAAATGTATCTATGAGCTAAGCTTGATTGATTTTATTTGATTTGGTTGCGATTTGTTCAACACAAGTTGATAAACATTTGAACAAGTTTTAATACCTACATATACCTATTTCAATAGAAACTGATCTATCGGGTGTTTTAAGCTTCCTAGCATTGAAAGCAGTTTTGCGTATTAGATATTATTTTTTATGGGATTAAACAATGAGAATTAAATTTTACATTTGCAGACATTTCGAATTCTAATGCGGAAATCGTTTAAAAAAACGTAGGTATATGTATAGACAGTCGTAGTTTTCTAATAGACGGAAGAACTGGAAAAAGTTTATGTACTGTCAATAAAAGCACTAAGAGATTTCGCTCTTGGGGATGGTAAAAAGAAATAGAGCATTATAAACCTTAATTAAGAAAGTAGCATTAAATAATAAAAAAAGAATATATAAGTTACGAATGTTCTTCGATCTGTACCATGTCTTTACTAAGTTGCTTACTAGTGTGATGAAGAAGAAAGATTAAACATAGTTTTATGAAAGGGGGAAATAATAATCAAAAACTTTTTTACATTGACAATTGACATTACATATGTTTGTTAACTTTATTCTTGTTTTCTCCATGTATATTATAATATAATATACTTACCATCATAGCTATCTTAATTTTATTCACTGCCACCCTAAATAGCATGCTTGTATCAGTACCATAACCATATCGCAAGTTCTTCAACCATGAAGTCTTTCTTCGTCCTGGACTGCGTTGGCCTGCTATTTCCCTTGCATAATATTTTACAGGGGTTCTGGGGGTAGTGATGCGTCTCAAACAGCCTCTCCTACTCAAATGTCAACCTCACCTTTACGTTGGTGAAACCTGTTATCACAAACGAGGCTCTGACGACCGAGTATCAACGGTATAACTGTAACATCTAGAATTAAGCAAATGTAATTCCATTAAGAATGAGTGGTGCCGACCCATCTTTTCTGAGGGGTGTTGGCTGAACTGAGTAGGCCGCTAACCTCGGTTACAATGGTGGACACGATACATTCTTATACCCCACCAACCCGTCTGTCCAGCGTGGTGGGTTATGGCCAAAACCTCCAAAACCAAAAATGTCGATTGCAACAGAAACACGGAAGGTACCCCAGGTGGGTAGGAATTCTATTCCACAGTCCCACACCGTAGCAATGGTCTGCCCCGAGGATTCTGGGGGGGGCAAGTCGACATTGAAAAAGAACAAACAACTCCATATAGCAACATACAACATCCGTTCCATGGCAAAAGACGAAAAACTCTACGAACTAGAAGAGGAATTGGGGAACTTGAATTGGGACATAATGGGACTGTCAGAAGTTAAAAGAAGAGGTGAAGGATATGTGGACTTACATTCAGGCAACAGACTCTACTATAAATGCAGGGAAGACTACACATACGGTGGAGTAGGTTTCTTAATCAACAAGTAGAGAAAATCTCAAATTCAAATAATTGGCAGTATATCAGACAGGGTTACATACATGGTCTTAAAACTAAATCCAAAAACTAAAATAAACATCGTGCAAGTTTATGCTCCAACTGAAAAAGCAACCGATGAGGAAATAAATTCTTTTTACGAAGACGTTAAAAAAGCTATAGACAACAACAAAGAATCCAAAATAATAATAATGGGAGACTTTAACGCCAAAATTGGAAGTAAGATTGAAGACTCTGAAAGCAAGATTGGAAACTTTGGATTCGGCACAAGAAACACAAGAGGAGAAAAACCCATGGAATTCATGGAACAAGAAAACATGTATGTTATGAATACCTTCTACAAAAAGAAACCTAACAGAAAGTGGACATGGGTCGCACCTAACGAAATTACCAAAAATGAAATAGCTATTTTCTCTCAAACAACAAAGGAATATTTGAAGACGTCACAACAATAAACAACGTAACAACGGGCAGTGACCATCGTATAGTCAGAGCAAAAATAAATATTAACATGAAAGAAGAGAGAAAAATGATTTTTAAAAAAACAACGAGGATAGATGCCTTTAAACTAAGAACAAATGAAGAGCAATTACGAGAGGTCTTAGCGGATAAGTTCGAATCTGATCCTTCACATAATCAAGATCAAATTGACGAGATTAATAAAAACCTAAATAAAAACCTTCTCGCAGCAGGACTACAGGTCGCAAAGAAAACAAGGACTAAAGAGGACAAAATAAGCAATGAAACTAAACAGCTAATGACGGAAAGAAGACAACTACTAGCGCAAAACAAACGTCATACTCAAGAATATAGAGAACTTAATAAAACAATTAGAAAAGAACTAAAACGCGACATACAAAAATGAAACGAGAACTTAATAGAGCGAGTCATTGAAAACAACAGAGGCTTAAAATGTCTAAGACTCGCACTGGGAGTTCAAAAATCATCAAAATTGAAGACGCTAACAATAAGTTAGAGAAGGACAAATATAAAATAACAAATATCTGATCACAAATCTGTTGTCAAAATAATCTGATCTACCAATTTTTTTGCTACACGCCATTTTTCCTAGAACCGTAAGTTATGGTTTCCGGTCCAGTGTGCTACCATGTGTCTAATGGTATCAGTTTAGTTTCGGATTACGACAAGTGCACTCTGAAAAAGGTCCATCTTTGATTTGCAAAGTTATTATTCTACCAGGGCACTTTCTTGTTGGAATTATTCATTATCTCCAAACAATTGTCTTGTCGCCACTATAACGTCTTGAAATTGTTCGGCAGCCATGTCTAGGTTTAATTTATACTTAATCATTTGTTTAACTCTGCCTAAACAATATGCCAGGTAGGATTGATATTTTTCTTTCCCTGCTGGTTTTACGAGGGTTACGATTAGTTTCCCTAACGGGCTCATTCTTGTTATTTCAAAACTTTGATATCCGAACAAGACACCTCATCTGACACAGGTATGCTTTAATAGTTCTAGCTACGTGATTGCTGGCACTATTATATCAATTATCTCCTTTCGATATGTAATTACGAAAGGTGGTTTGTTTCCTACATTCAGTATGTCCATTTAGAATAGCATATCCTTTTTGTGCTGCCCAGATCAGGTGGTGCACATTCGCATCACAAAACTAATGATAAGTTGTAATCCATTTATTCTGCAATCTCTTACGAACTGTTCCATTTGGCGTGGTAGATGTTTTTTGGGGCCATCATCTGGAAGATATGCTGACACGAGAATTATTCCCTTTAAACTATTCTCTGATCGTTATATTTACTCTTTATAATCTCTAGAGCAGAAATTCATCAACGGTAGTATTTTAATACGTCGCTTGACTGTTATTTAAATCCTCGGGACTTCGATAGATCCGCGGTATATAAGCTTTCAACTAATAATTAAAGCTACATCGAAGATTTTCATAATGACAGTAAACTCTACTGAAACTGTTTTATTGTGCTGAAGGTTCGCCTGTAGGATACATTTCTAAGTCTGCAATAGGTCTTCAAGGATATGTCGATCTCGTCGATCAAAAAGTTTGTCCACACTCCCTGATCTTCCGACTCTCTAATAACCATCCTTCCATTCTAACGCCTAGGCCTTGTTTCCACGAGCGGGTTTTGATTATTGCTTACCCAGACTCTTTCTCGAGGACACGGAGGAGGACCACAGGGCGTCTAGACATATTATGGGAATCCACTATAGTCAAGTTTGCTTCTTTCCACAGGCCCCCGTAGCCCTCACTACATCCACAGTCCATTCACCCATAACGTCCCTATGCTAAACATGATTTTATTTGAACTGTAGTGCATTTTGCCTTCCGCTAGGAGTCTCATCTATTGCTTTTTACAGTTTTTTGACAGGTTTGTACAGGTCTTTTTGAACCTGATCTACTTTAGTGTCAGGACGGGACCGTGTACTTCTGCCACCTAGAATGCTTTCTGATGTTGCTATATGATTTATTCTATTCGTTAGTGCTCCTAGGTTTGTAGCGACTCTTTGTTGTAAGGAGAGAAGGTCTCTTTTTTCCCTCTTTGAATACTTCTGCGAAGTCGCTAGGTCATGGCCCAGAATTGTTTGTTACTGCAGTATCACCTAGAACTGCCGTCGATTGTATCAAAGGCAATGTGGTAGCGAACGTAGGCGTGATCTATCATTAGCGTTAGTAACTGATGAAACCATACAGTCCTTAACAAAATTTGTTTGAAACATATCACGTTATGCATGACGTAAGGTCCATTTACGGAATTTCCTAATTATAAAGACTAAAACTAAAGAAGATGACAAAAAAATTATAACGTTCATCTTTGTGATGCCAGGATATTGATAATCTATAATCTTGCTTTGCAGTTTCGGCCATTAAAATTATTTTTATACGTACACTGTTAAGTTGGGGAATGTTAATAAATAAAAAAATAGAGTAGATGCCTTATAGATTTTATTTTTCAGAAATTTAACAAAACATACATAGGGTGATCAATAAAATTATCGACCATAAAGTTCCCTGTACATAAAATTATATACAACACATAATATTATACAAATAGTCACATACTAGGAATGTTAAATTATTAAAGGCCATTTTAATCTTACAGACTAGTGCTTTCGACTAAGAATACAGTTGGTAGTATTAAAACTATTGATACATATAAATATATACGTGATTTACTTGTTTTCGATTACGCGATGCATTTTTTTAACTTGTCTAATACAGTAGAAACCCCAGAAAATTGTATGTCTTTTTTTTTCATTTCCTTTGTTATAAAGACGGAGAAGTTGCTTAACTAGTCTTCAAAAAAAATTGACCAGACTAATTATCTACTTGTATTTTCGTTTAATTTCTCTATACTA